TCTGGCCTTCTTCTTGATTGGGCTCGGCTCACTGAAGACTTGGAAGCGGTTCGCAGAATGGGGCGCGGGTTCGAGCACAACGCCACCGCTGTCTTCATCGGAGCTTGTGCTATCAACGGATCCAGTGGAGAGTTCAAACGGGTCCACAGTGTGCGTGGCGCTGGGGCGGCCAACATCTAACTTGGCAGCGAGCTTGAGGAAGATCTGCGCGGTGAGATAACTGTCGTAACCTGCTTCATGGAGTTGGTGGCGGTCCTGGTAGGATTTGAACTGCTCGGGGAGACAAATTTGAGGGATACGCTGGGTTTTGAGGTCTTGGTGAAGGTCTTGAAGACTGGAAGATTGACGCGCGTCGATGAGTTTATCGCGGGTGGCCATATATTTCGTGTCGATGACCATGGGGAAGAGAGCGTGGATCTTCTCCTGGAATTCGGTGACGGTTGGGGGGAGGTTTCCAATGAAGGTATGGTAGAGGAATATGAGATCGGTGAAAAGGTTGTGACCGACAAGTACACGGGATTTGGCTGCCAGTGCTTTAGTGAGGCTGGATAGCTCGAGCTTTTTTAAGGAGGTGTCAATGAAGGCGGATTGGCCGGCAGCGTTGATACAGAACCAGTTCGGGGCTATAGCGGAGAGATCGCCACCAGCGAGAGCTTCAAATATATAGCGGAAGCCTATGTGTTGTGTAAGTAGGTTATCAGAAGCTGGCGAAGAGAAAGTAAGAAATAGCCAACCTACCAACTTGTTTGGACAGCTGAGTCTCATTGGCTATAACCTTCGAAGCAGCAATCTAGAGAAATCAGTATCACCCCTGTACTAAGCTGCGATCCACATACCTTAGCCTCCTTCGCCATGTCCATCTTCTCGACCTGCACGAAATCGGCATTCTTCCTCGGCAAAAACGCCCTGTACTGCTTGAACTCAGTCCTGACAAGTTGGTAAACCAATCTTCGCTGATAGCCACTAAGCCCGCCAGGCACAGAGACATTGTAGAAACCCATTGCATCCCTTACGTCCTTGTTCTTGGAATCGGTCCATTCCAGCAACTGTCTTCTAGCGTTGCGGTAGAAGTCAAGAGTAGCCTGGTCACCGGGGCCGATCTCGATATCTGGAATGGTGCTGTTCCGGTTTTGGCGCTCTATGAATGCCTGACGAGCTTGGGCTTGCTCCTTGCGGGAGATATATGATATCCCTTTCGTGAATACGGCGCCAATGTCGAAGCAGTTCTTCCTTAGGAAATGCATGGAGCTTGATGACAGGGTGATATCACGGTAGATATCTAGTTTATCTCCATCTTCTAGCAATGGATTGATAGTGAAGTTGTATGGGCGAGCTGTGTAAACTCCTACGGCCTGTCAGTCCACGGAAATTGAATGCGAGCCCCTATCTCGTCATGTCCAGCTGACGAGGACTGACCATTCTTCCAATCTTCTTCCACACATGTCAGGCCGATCTGCAAGACCTGATACCTCTCAGCTGCCTCTTTCGTATCCTCATATTGCTGTTGAAGAGACGGCTTGCCAATGTCGTTGAAACGTCCACCAGGTGAGTATCGTGACTTGGTTGAGATCCCACTCATCTCCACGTCGACCGTAACGAAGCTTGCAGTGGAAATGGCTTTTAGAATAGGCAAAAGCTCATGCCAGAAGTGCTGCTGGTCGACCTCCATATTGATGAAGGTTAATTGCAGAGCTTGCCTTTTGTGGCATATGTTTTGAGGGTTGTATCAACTTCAGGTGTTGAACGGCACGCGTCACTTTGGTCGATCTAGCATGAGAGAATAAACAACAAAGAGCCCTCTAACTGTGAGGTAGTTGTGTGGCAGCTATGAGGCTGTTTGGACAATGAAAATACACACAACTTATATCATGGGTGACGGTTGTGGCTTTTTAAGCCTGACGCGCGTGTGAACTTCAAGGGATATAAAAGACGTGCTTCATTACTTTAATCACCGCAAGAAAGAGCTTATGGTTCTGAATGCAGCAGAGAAGAGATATATGGAACTTTGGAGTAATGTTTGACTTTCCTGAGAATTGTTTTGCCAGCACTCATGTTTCAACATCAAGCAAATAAGTCACGGCTGGTGCTTGTCAAAGGTGCCTTCCATGCATGTATGCATGAAACACTTAAATGACAAGTCGTCGTGCAGATTGAATCGCATATCACGTGACCACCCCATCACCGGTGCGGTGCGGCTAGGTCCGATGATAATGTCCAAATTGCCGAGGCTCCAGTACGCGATCACCTGCTAACACTCCGAGAGATCTCCAGAATCTCCCCATCCATTCCTCGGAGCTAACGACTGAAGGGCCTCACATCCCCGTCCCCTCTAATCTCCTCGGCCTCGTGCGTCCCTTCCCCAGATGCCCTACACGCTAAACAATGGCTTTTAATGGGTCCACTCCTTCACTCCTCCCTCCCAACGACTCCGGATCCTCATCCTTATCCTCCTCACAACTACTCTCGGCTTCAATGGCGAGCTCGACATCCTCTCGACATGGCTCCTCCCAGATTTCAAAGATCTACCGGCAGTCCTCAACCCTATTCCTGACGCGTCGATTGCCGGAGTCGCTCTCTACCATCCTCCCAGTGATCACGGCGCCGACAACCACAGACTCCAACGGCAACGTCTCGGTCGTGGACCAGGCCCCAATTGCCAAATCCTCTCGCACCACCAGGATCAAGGTCTGGAGTCTCTATCTCACCATCCTCAACGCCATCGTCGAGCTCGACGGCGAAGAAGGCAAAGCCGCCTTCGGCACCCAAGAATGGCGCAACCTCGTCACCAAAGTCCGTGACGGCATTGTCTGGGAAGAAGTCGTCCAGAACGGCTACCGCGGAGTCGAAGGCGACGTCGACGCCGACGTTGTAATTAACCTGTTCGTCCCCTCCCCCTCATTTCACCCCCAATCACATGCTAACCCCCCCCCCCCAGAGCAACCCTCCTCCTCGCCCACGCCCGCACCCAACACCTCAACCAAACACGCCTCGAAGCCTACCTCGCCGCCGCCCGCACCCCCAACCTCGACCTGACGGGGCGCTTCAACGAGACCTCCGTCCGGGGCGCCAGTCCCACCCGCAGCGTCGGCACCGACACCCCGCGCGACCTCAACGCGCGCGTCAAGATCCTAGAGCTGTACACGCTGCACGTCCTCCTGCGGAACGACGAGTGGGCGTACGCGCGGGACTTCATCTCCGCTTCCGAGGTGCTGGATGAGGAGCGCCGAGATGCGTTTTTAGCTGCCCTCCAGAGCTTAGAGGATGAGCGCGAGGAGGCGGCGTTGAGGGAACAGGAGGTGGCGAGGGAGAAAGAGGAAAAGTTGCGAGCTGATCTTGAGGAGGCGAGGAGGCGGAGGATAGAGAGTGAAGAGCGCGAGGCGCGGAGATTGGAGGAGCAGCGCGAGGCAAGGAGGGTGGAGGAGCAGAGAGGGAATAGGGCGGGGAGTGAAGTGGATTATGGTGTTGATTCTTCGCATCCGGTGCAGTCTAACGGTTCTGCGAATGGGAAAGCCGGTAATGGCTCAGCGAGTGGGAAATCCTCGCCTTCTAGATCGGCGTCGACGCCGCCGCCGAAGAAGGGGGCTATTAAATCGAGGGTCTTGCACTCTACGAAGCCGTCTGGGTCGGGACAGCGCGCGGCGGTGTCGACGCCGCCGAATATGATTCAGCGCGCCACGGCGCTGATGGGGAATGTGCACAAGCTTATCAAGGTGCTCGCGGCGACGCTGCTGAATAACCCGGGGTCGGTGCTGAGGACGGTGGCGTTTGCGGTGTTGATCTTGTTGGCGCTGGGGAATCGGGCTGTGAAGGAACGGGTGAGGGGGGTCTGGGGGAAGGTGAGGGGGACGATGGGGATGGCTACTAAGGTTAGTTATATTTAGTGAGGGGAGGGGGAGGGGGTAATGTCGTATATGATTGCATATTTGGCGCTGGTGGGGGTTTTGGGGGTTTGGAGAAGGCACAGTTTGTATGTATAGTAAATAGTAGCCACCCACAAGGCGTTAGGATTGGATCGAGAACATGGGCAAGTCTGTCTGCCTCAATAGGTGTAATTTATTTTATTTGTTCTAGCTGCTCTTGCTGATCTTCGTGAACCCATGTATATGCATCGAACCTTCTTGTACTGCCTGATCTACACACCCCTTTCCCCATGTATAACCCCCTCCCCGCCCATCTCACAGCCATCTAGTCACGCGACAAGAACGGCGCCGTCTCCATCTCCCCCGCATCCTTTTCATACACATCCCCCCCAAAGATCTGGCGGATCTTTAACCGTGTCGATTCAGGAATAATAGTTTTCCAGCACCCCTCCCCCGACTGTCTACATTCCTCGCACCGGCGCTGAGGTTTCTGTAATCTCCTCCCCTTCCGCTGTCTCGTCGTCCCCGGGTTCTCAGACTTCAAATCCGATTCTTGGCTACTGAAGGCATGCTGGAGCTTGGTGAGGAGTTGGTCAGGCGATATCCCGAGTCGGGCATTGTCGGCGGGGATGCCCATCTAGGTCCTTGGAGTAGGGGTGGGAGGAGGAAGGAAACTGAGAATTGTTCTTAGGGATTCTCACAAGTGATAACGGCTTATAGGGAGAAGGGGAATGATAAACCATCCCACATTCAAGCACAGCAGAGAGGGGATAGAGGAGGTATAGGAGATAACATGATGCCATGTAGTGCGTAATTACCGTACCTGGTACGAGAAGGCCTATCAACTACTATGGTGGCTGGGATAGAGTAAAGTAGTGTGAGAACTTCCGGTCGATATTAGACCCCTGTGACGACATGATGATCGATTGACAGCTCCGTAATCTGAGTTCCTCGATCTCCAGCGGTTTCCCACCCACCAACCGCACTCCTAACCCTATCTTCTGCATATCCAAATTCCAAAGCATATTTACCGTTGTACCCTATGACGGGACGTATGTGCAAAAAAAAAACCAAGGGGATACCCAAATACGTAATCAAAAAAATCAGTCTAAGAACGCAAAAATAAAAACACGAAATTCGCACTCCAAGAGGGGCTCGAACCCTCAACCTCAAGATATCACTGTGAACTATATTTCAAATTCAAACTTTTGTAGTAGAAGTCTTGCGCGCTACCATTGCGCCATTGGAGCTCATGGTTTGCAGTAGCGCGACGAGGGGGGGCTATATGTGTGATAGATATTTTGCACTGGAATTTGATGGAGGACGGATGGTGGGTGTGGTATGGGAATTATATTCGTTCTGGGGACTCTTGTTGTTGTTAGAGGGGGGGTTACTGATGTATGTGATGGGGATTGGGATACTGGGTTCCTTCGCTGAGGTGGTTTTGAGGGGGGGGGTTCGGAGATTAGGAAATTATGTTTTCGGGGAGGAAATATTATTTATGTAACTTTTATATTCAAAGTCCGTTTCCCACGTATAATAAATTGAGATAAACATCTTCCAACACATCTTCTACATCACAAACCCCATCTATTTGATTCAGATGCTTTCCAGCTACCGGGTATTATCCCCCCCCCCCCTCCCATATTTTTCATACAAAACATCTCCAAAACCTCCCCACCTCATCACCAACCACAAGGTTAAACAACTGTCTCATATTCTCAACCCACCCGCCTACTGAAACACCATGTCGTCACCCACCAACCACCACCATCAATTAATCACCAGAGCAAAAAAAAAAAGAAAAAGGGTTTTGTTTGTTTATGAGTGGTGTATTATTATATATATTAATCTATCCTACTCCGTCGCTGTCCTGTGTTACCAGCTCCCCCATTCGTATCATATTCATCATATATACCCATATGTAATCCCATCCCATCCCATCAATCCAATCATGATCCCTTAAAAATCCCGAATTCCAAATCGCTGTGATATACCCATCCATGCTCCCATCCATGTTCCCAAAATCGTAAAAATCCTATGCAAATGCTTCCTTCCCAATATTCCCCAAAAACGTATGATCTCAACTCCGAGAGGAGGAGACGAGGCAAACTCAAATCCCACGAGGAGGAAACGAGAACAGACTTAAATCCCACCAACAGGTGTAATCAAATCCACACTCCTCGTCCTCCCCCCCCACCCGCCACGACTGGGCAGAGGCCTTTCCCCCGGGCTGGACACAACACCGAAGAACCCCTTGCCGCCACTCTTCCCCCTGTAGGCCCAGACGACACCATCAGAATCCTCATCAGACGACTCCGGCGGGGACGGGTGATCGCGCTCTGCCCTCCTCGCGATCCCCGAGGATATCGACCTCAAACTCGCGAGCGCGGTGGGAGGTGTGTAGAGGCTCGGCGAAAGGGTGGGGGAGAGGCGCGGGATGATGTCTCGACCGGGGTTGGCGGTTGTGGTGGGGGAGGCGGGGTGATTGTATGTTGGCGCGAGGTACGGGGAAGGAGGCGGGGAGGAGGGGAGGAAAGTGGTGTGTGAGGAGACGGGGTGGTCTAGTTGTCTGCAGCGTTCTGAGCAGTAGAGTGTGTTCTGGTGTGGTGTGGGTGGGAGTTGGGAATCGCAGTATGTGCTAATCATCTGTTAGCTTTCTGTTCCCTTTCATCTTCTATTTTTATCCCCCAGTGTGGGAGATGGGAGAGAGACATACCAGAAATCCAAAAAACTCTCATCTCCACCCTCGGCAGCGAATTCCTCCTCTTCGGCTGAACGAGCTGCGCGCCCGCGGCGCTCGCGCTCTTGGGTACTGCGACGGAAAAGCATTGGGCGGTGCGAGGAGCTCTTGCGGCGGGGTTGGGGGCGGGAGGAAGGGGGGGTGGGGGGGGGGGGGGGGGGGGGGGAGGTGAGGGTTGAGGATGGGGCCAGGATTGCGATTTGGTTTGTTTTTGGCTGGTGGTGGTGGTTTTGTGGTTGTATTTGTTTGTCTTGGTTATGTTGTGTTCAGAGTTTGAAGTTTGGTAGTGTAGTGGTGATGTGAGTGTGGTGTAAAATGTGAGAGCTCGAGAACGACGGAGGGGTCGTGGGGGTTGATATATAGAGATTCCGATATGAGTCTGATAACGGGACTTTTGGGATATGGATTATCGGGCGGGTGCAGACGGGATGCTGGATGGGGAAATTGAATGGGTCCTGCTTCTCTTCTCTATCTGGCGTGTAATGCTCGTAATGTGTGTGTCTTCTCTTATCTGTGGCTGTGGAGAGAGCTGAGGTGTGGGCAGGGACTGGCGGATAGATAAGGTTGGGAGGATAGAGTCTAGCCGCGAGATCGGAGAGTGGGTGAGAGTGAGAGTGATAAGTGAGTAATCCGAGTAAACGAAGGTCGATCGGTGGAATTGAAGCAGTTAACAAATAGTTTAACTGTGTGTGCCTGTGTGTGTGATTATATATTATTCATCATCGTGGGAAACAAAGGAAGGATTCAGTCTTTATATGTATGGATGGCCAGTCAGAGAGAGAGAGAGAGAGGAGAGAGAGCATGTACCTTAGCAATCCACCATCGTGAGTCAAATGGCGAGCGTGCCAGCAAAAACCCCACCATCTTTTCATCCAGTACAGTACGAAAGTTACTTGACCGAGTATGTACACATCTCAGTGGGAAAAAAGTACATAATCCAGTCCTGGTTGCATCACCTCCACCCCACAATTCCACAATTCTCAGCCCAGGCAGAGGACGAGACGGGGTCGTTTACTGGACTGGTAGAGGGGGTACATGTCCACACACCTATTCTTTGTACGCAATGAATGTACTACACATGGCCAGCTTCCACCATCCTCTATGGCTATTGTGCTATACTCCCAGGTATTTGTCCAGTCCAGCTTCTCCACAAATATAGATAGAGAGAGATACAGATACAAAATACAAGGCCTTGCGATTATGCCATGTGTGGGCCATCAATCCTCACATTATGCCATTCTCCCACCATCGCAGCACTTGATTATAGTATGTAACTCCCATACACTGACCAAGTACCCATCTATGGCATTCCCCCATTCCCGCACCTTCCGTTGTCTCGCCGATGTCTCTAATCGTCTCTAACTCCCCCCACTCTACGTACGCCATTGCTCATACTCAATCGTGCGAGAGAATTTTTATTTCTTGATCTTTTATTTGGGTTTGCCTTTATTTTTCACATCTCTGACTCCATTTATCCCATAAAAAAACGTGCTCTGACGTGGGACGCGTAGTAGCCCGGAGGGTAACTCTCTTCCTTGAAAATACTTCAGTATCCCACTCTCCAAGCGCCTTCAGCTTGTCGGGATGCGATACTTGGATGGATGGGGATGGATCTGACGATCTGACTGTACGGATGGATAACCCTGTTTGTCCAGTACCCAAAAAGGCGTGCAGGGCTGAATGACTGGGTGGGAGTGCTTTTCTTTGACAGCAAGGTTATGGGATTTTAGAGTAGAGTAATGTACTACTTACTGTGTGTGCTGTACTGCAAGCTGGTAGTTTTTTTTTTCTATGGGGTATGTACTTTTTTTCTCTTACTATGGGGATAGAGAGACTACACGTGTATGAGGCCGAGACGCTGGTGCGTAGGTAAGAACTATTGTTAGTAAGACACGCACCCACCACGCACGCACGTACGCACGGAAGGGAAGGGAAGGGAACAAAGAGCGAGAAGACGACGAGAGAAGGATGTCGAAACGTGCGAAGGGTGCGGGCGGGATTATGCGAAAGAGCGAATGTCCGAAACGTGCTCACGGGTTGACGAAACAGAGTATTGTACTACGTATATACACTCTATGCTATACACGTTCTGTTACTACTACGATTGTCATACATACACAACTTCCATTCCCGTTCCTGTACCTGATATGCAGATACGCGTACACACATCTAGACTTCTTACAGCATATATCCTGATGCAACAGATATAACCTACTAAGGTACAAGTATCACCACATATAAACCACCCAGGTACATGTACCACCACTCATCACCCACTACCCACCACCACCACCCAGCACACAACACAGCCAAAATTCGCAAATCACCCCATCAGATGGCGCCTCCGATCCAAACCGCCGATCATCCAACGGTCTCGACGGGGGATACATGTGTACACCCAGAATCAAAGTACACTCACCTAAGCCGAGCGATTGCGCAATTCACCAGCCGGAGAACCCCTATGAAAGGAAAACCTATAGGTTATGTAAGGGACGTGTCAGAGAACGTCAAAATAGACAGGTCGTGTGTCTAGATTGATGGGATTACAGCAGTGTGTGCTGGTATGGCGTTATCCTCTGATGATGATGGCAGGTATGGCTCGTGCGATGGATTTAATGTATTCCTCTTTGAGTACGCCGTACATATTAACTTAACCACCACCACGCCGCTGTCTCACTCCTGCTCCTCTTCAGCTCTCTTGCTCCCTCCGGACTTTTCCTATCCGCTCTATCAATTCCCCCATCTCCGATCCTACTTCTACTAATCGACTCGATCATACCCCCACGGACCACCACTCACCCACGCACGGTGCTTGCTTCCACACGTCCATCCTCCCATGCCATCATGGTACTTTGGTGAGTCCCGTACTATGGAGAAAGGTATTTATTTGTATTTGTATCTACCGACCGAGACCGAGACCGAACGCGGGCCTACCCATCTTCCGGCAGCGCGGGGGATCAAATAACACCGTCCGTACCACCCCACGTGTGCTCTAGAACTTCTGGCAGCACTGCCACCACAATACGTACTTAAGCCTTAGATCGGGGGGGGGGTTGTACCTTACAGTCCCCGCAATCTACCCACACTACACGCAAGGATGATGTGTGTGTTGTACGAATTGTGCGTATCTATGGGGAAAAGAATTGTTCTGGACCGAGGGTTGTGATACGCTTTTTTTATTAAAATAGAAAACGTGCTGGAATGTTGGCTTTGAGAGTAGGTTTGGAACCCTGATTGCGTATTGTGTTTGTTGATTGACGTAGGAGGTGGGGGGTGGATATCAGTATCGATATCGAGAAGCAAGGCAGAGGATATGTGTCTATCCGGGTGTCTATCTGGGTGTATATCTGGGTTGAGGTTTGTGTATACAACAGGATTTTGTATGTGCAATACCAGTCAGTTACCTACCTTCCAAGGCCGTCGTCACCATACACGACATACATACCCAGACCAGACACGCAAGGTCCCGTCCGTCCCTACAAACCTTCCAAGGTCCTCCACTCCTTC